AATATACACTGCGCCTTGTGGAGGAGGGTATAATATATTTTTAAGAAGTAATGATCTCATTATTTGTTAGATGTTCTTCTTGGCACTTCCAACATTTTTTCTCAATAAAGTTTTCACACCACCGACAGGCGGTTACTGAAAATGAAAGTTCTTGTCATAGTATATTCTTATCATTTAAATCCAACGATTTAATTCATTATTCGTACAAGTTTTCTTATCAGCATTTTTTTTTTTTTTGTTTTGAAATGTCATCATGTAAACAACTGCAAACAAAAAAAAAAAAAAAAAAAAAAAAACAATAGTACAATTAATACAAAATTTCAAGAAAACAGTGACTTTGTATGGTGACCATGTAAATTCACGAGCATATATTTAAAAAAGTTCTGAATATTGGGTTTCTTGTATAAAAAGAATTCGAAATGTTAAATTACAGTCACTTCGGAGCTAAAATCTTCAAAATAACAAAAATGACTATACATCGAAATTTATTTATTATTATCAATAAGTTTTGTTCTAAGCTAGCTAAGGGAATGAGCGACCTCTTACAATTTCGCTACTGTTTCTTGATCGGCAAATTTACAGTTGTAATGAAAAGGTATTACAATACAAGTTTGTCCTTAAAAGGTACTTTTGTCTGCATGCAGGTCAAGTTCGAAGATGGACTATATCGGTTTAGGCATAGCTCCCATATAATGATGTGCACTAAGTTTCATGAAAATCGGTTCAGATATACGTATAGCCCCGATCGTCCGATTTTAAGTAAATGGGGCACCAAAGTTCCTATATATCTTTCGATTTGCATGAAATTTGGCATAGGGTACCGAATTAGGTTCAGAAAGTTTGGTGGAAATCTATTCAGATTTAGATATAGCTCCCGTATATAGTTTCGTCCGATTTTATGTAAATGGTACAAAGTCCCCATATATCTCTAGATTTGCACGAAATTTTGCATAGTGAACTGAACTGAGTATTGAATGACGTATGTTAAGTTTCGAGAAAATCGGTTCAGATTTAGATATATCTCGAAACATAGCACAAAATATATATGGGAGCTATATCTAAACCGATTTTCATGAAACTTAGCACACATTATTATAGACGCAATTCAGTACGCTATGCCAAATTTCGTGCAAATCAAAAGATTTTCAGGGACTTTAGTGGACTATTTACCTAAAATCGGGTGAAGCTATATATGGGAGCTATATCTAAATCTGAACCGATTTTCTCGAAACTTTACTCACATCATTCTAGACTTAATTTAGTACGCTATGCCAAATTTCGTGCAATTCGAAAGATATATAGGGACTTTGGTACACAATTTACCTTAAATCGGACGAAGATATATATGGGAGCTATATCTAAATCTGAACCGATTTTTCCCAATTTCAATAGGTTTCGTCCTTGGGCCAAACAAATGAGCTGTGCCGAATTTCATCCAATTCGGATCATAAATGCGACCCGTGCATTGTTTACAATTTAACATGGACAGACGGACATGCATACATCGACTCAGAAAGTGATTCTATGCACATTCTCAAAAGGAACCATGGCTCTGTCTCGATTATTTTTGCCTGTTACAAACATATGCACAAAGTACCACTGTGTGTTGAAGGGTATAAAAAGGATAGATCGAATTTCCATCTGTGAAGCCTTGGTGCAAACGGAATGAGATAGACCCATTTCTTAAACGGATGGTGACTGGAGATGAGAAATGGATCACATACGATAACGAAGGCGATGGTGGTCAAAGAACGGTGAAGCACCCTAAACGGTGGCCAAACCAGGACTAACGGCCAGGAAGGTTCTGCTATGCATTTGGTGGAACTGGAAAGGGATTATTTATTATGAGTTGCTTTCATATGGCCAAACTGCTAAATTCTGATCTCTACTCTCAACAACTGGACCGTTTGAAGATAACAATTGACCAGAAACGTCCAGAATTGACCAACAGGAGAGATGTCGTGTTCCACCAGGACAATGCTAGGCCACACACATCTACAGTGACTCACCAGAAACTTCGGGAGCTTCGATGGGAAGTTTTAATGCTTCCACCATACAGTCCGGACTTTGGAAAATTTCTTTAATGATAACCAGAAAGGAAAGTAGTAAAGTCGGACGGGGCCGACTATATGATACCCTTCACCACTATGGGTATATTAAACAGGACTATTAACATGAAATTAGTTGAAATAAAATATGTGATATTTATCTAAATGTGAATCTACCTAGATCTATCCATAAACATGTCATTCGTTGATGGTTTGATGCCCAATTTACTTGAAATCGGGCGAAAAAATATATGGAAGCTCTATCCAAATATTAAGCGATTTCAAAAAAACTTGTCACAGGTTAGGTTATACTAATTTCAGAACGTTTTGTTCCTATCAGCCTATTGGAGCTATATCTAAATCTGGACTGATTTTCACGAAACAAGGCAGACATCACTCTAGGCCCTATTCAGTACGTTATGCCAAATTTCGTGCAAATCGAAGGATATATAGGGACTTTGGTGCACCATTTTCATAAAATCGGACGAAACTATATATGGGAGCTATATCTAAATCAGAACCGATTTTCTCGAAACTTGGCAGACATCACTCTAAGCTCAATTCAGTACGTTTCGTGCAAATCGAAGGATATATAGGGACTTTGATGCACCATTTACATGAAATCGTACGAAACTATATATGGGAGCTATATCTAAATCTGGACCGATTTTCTCGAAACTTGGCAGACATCATTCTAGGCTCAATTCAGTACGTTATGCCAAATTCTGTGCAAATCGAAAGATATATAGGGTCTTTGGGGCACGATTGACATGAAATCGGACGAAAATATATATGGGAGCTATATCTAAATCTGAACCGATTTTTACGAAATTGAACACACATCTTTCTAGACTTAATTCAATACGTCATGCCAATTTTCGTGCAAATCGAAAGATATATTGGGACTTTGGGGCACCATTTACATGAAATCGGACGAAACTATATATGGGAGCTATATCTAAATCTGGACCGATTTTCACGAAACTTGGCAGACATCATTCTAGACTTAAATGATTAAGCTGTACCAAATTTCGTGCAAATCGAAAGATGTATAGGGACCGTTCACATTAAATCGGTTAAATATATATATATGGGAGCTATATCTAAATCTGAACCGATTTTCCCAATTTCAATAGGGTTCGTCCTTGGGCCGAATAAGTGACCTATGCCAAATTTCATCCAATTCGGATCATAAATGCGACCTGTACTTTGTTTACAATTTAACGTGGACAGACAGACGGATGGACATGCATAAATCGACTTAGAAAGTGATTCTATGCATATTCTCAAAAGGAACCATGTGTCTATCTCGTTACCTTTTGCCTGTTACAAACATATGCACAAAGACATAATACCCTGTACCACAGTGTGGTGAAGGGTATAAAAATTGGTACGTAGGAAAATCGGCTATCAGGTTTTTTTGCAAATAGAGAGCAGGACTTCTATGAGAGAGGCATTATGATGTTACATATTAAGTGGCAACAAATCATACAACAAAACCGGGCGTATTTGGCCCAAATTGGACATTCCGAAGAATGTTAAACAAATTCCTATAGTACATATAAAAAAATAACGGATTTCTTTTTCCTCAACCTAATATATTTATATTTGATTCTCATTGAGTTCAAAATTTCCCAACAAATATTTTAAAATTATTTTTGTAAGTTTTGTATACGATTCTCATCCGAATTGGCTTTTTAAGGTATCGACATTTCAAGTATTATTTTTTGTAACCCTATTTTCTCATTGAAGAGACTATAGTTTGGTATCTCAAATTCTCCAAATGTCCCGTTTAACTTTCGGTACATATGAAGATCCTAGCCTAACCTTCCTACCTTAGTGCTTACAGTTTGGTATTTAGTTTTCTGCTGGATGCTATTAACTGTGGCATATAAAAATCCCAATCGAGTTCGACCGGGTCTGTATAATAAATATTTCAATCCATTACAAATGGCGCCCAACATTTAAAACATACCATACAGTCTTGCAAATTTAATTTCTTTTAGGTTGGTCCCAAACCGTTTCCGGCCAATTTAGAATTTTCTGTATTTTGAATTCGATTCGAATTTGGTAATTTGAATATCCATCCGGAAAAAAGTTCGGCGGGCCTGTGTAATAGAAAAGTTTTCCAATGTGTATACTTTTTTGAAGCTTAGTTTTTTTTCCAGAACTAGTTTAATTTTTTAAATATAAAAAATTAAACTCCAATATATATTTTTTAATATTATTTTCACATTTATTTCTTATAGATTTTTTTATTATTTGTTTGTTTTTTTCTCTCTTTTGATCAAATTTAAAATTGTTTTTGTTACATTAATTTCGTACTTAATACATACATAAAAAATACGAACGAATTGGTTATAAATAATAAAAAAAATATATATTATATAATTAACATAAAAATTCTAAAAAAAATATAATTGTTTTATTTGTTTTTCTCGAATTGTTCTTGATTTGGCATGATGATTTTCAAAATAAAAGAAACATACATACATATACAATTACTTAACTTGTTTTGTGGTTTAGTAGAAAAAAAAATACATACAAACACTTAAGCGAAATTTTACAAAAAATAAATTTGCAAAAATTCGGCGTCAGTGGAAAATTATATAAAATGGGTAAAAGTTTTCAATGGGTGGTTTTGGAAAAAAAACATCAAAGAAGCAATTATACTAAAACATTGCAAAACTTACAAACTAAAGTCAAAGAAATTCATAGGCAATGTTAGAAAAAATGATGATTGGTGTGGTGTACAGAAATACAGAGGGTGGTTGGGGGGTGGGTGGTTAGGTAAAAAGTAAATACATAATAAAAAAATAAAATCAACATTAGAAAAACCACGTCGTGGGGGTTTTAGAAACTCCCGAAGTTGTTTTTGCCTTTTAGTTTTTCTTTGAGTGTAGAAAAAATATTGACTTTTCCTTCTTTCCGTCTGTGTGTGCGTGTTGTGGTTTACCAAACTTCACATTTATTAACGGGATTCATCGGTGATCCTTCGGGACATTGAAAATCTTTGGAGAAGTCTTTCATGTTACTCATTGAACCCAAGACACGGAATTCATTGGGCGAATGGACACCGGTGGTAATGCGCATTTTGAGAGTTTCTGAAAAAATAAAGAAAAAATATTAAAAAATAATATTTACAGATTTTTTATATATGACATAATCAGGGAGATTTAATAGATAATACAAAGAATATAAAAAGTCTGGTAGGCAAAGATGAGAACCCATAACAAATGGCGCCCAACATATAAAAACATTATTTTCTATGCCATCAAATCCCGTTTTTTTTTTTTACATTGGACCCAATTCGTTTCGGGTTATTTAAAGTGGATTTAGAATTGTCCATCTGACTGATGAGCACGATTAATCGAACCTCCCAAAAACTGCATAATAATTATTTTAATATATTTTCCAATAACAAATGGCGCCCAACATGAACAACATTAAAGTCGTTTTTTAAGTCGATTTACAATCAAATGCTAATGCCAAGAATAAACGCAGTCTAGAGGGCGAACATGAGAACCCATAACATATGGCGCCCAACATGAAAAACATTTCTTTGGACAATCTCGTCGATTCATGATATTTAAAGTCCATTTAGAATCGTACGTCTGGCTAATGAGCATGATTAATCGAACCTCTCAAAAAGGTGGATAATAATTATTTTAATATATTTTTCAGTAACAAATGGCGCCCAACATGAACAATATTAAACTGTATCTCGGCAAATCACGTTCCATATTATTGAGGACCAGATCCATTTCATGTTACGATTGTCTGACTTTTTCGGAAGGAAGGATGTCATCTCTCCCGGAAAGTGTAATATTATTAACACACTCATCGATTGTGTTGCAAACCAATGCCTTGAATGACATTTCTTGTGATAGACAACTTCAGACGTTTAACAAACAAAAACTTCATCGAGTTCTGCCAGACCGAAATTTGTATAACCTCCATAATGAGGTGCTCATTAAAAATACGTACAATAAAAAGGGAATTCTTACATGGCGGTGCTATGTCATGGCCCGGAGAAAGCGAAATACCAAACACAGATTGGAATATTCGGTTAAGATCTGAAATATGCTGAAAATGACGAGCGACCTTTGTATGGACACTATAAAGAAAACATTATTTTAAGTTAATTTAATTGAATTCCGTTGACCAATCCTCGCCAAACTCAAACTGCAGTGGCCGGACATCTACTATATTCCTCTTGCCTTCAGCTTTTGGACCATGCATGTATTCCATGGTATGGCCTACGAGACAGGATATAAGTATTAGCGTGTTTTCCACATTTTCAGTGCTCGAATCTGAAATCATAACTTTGGAGCCTTTCGATCCAACGGTCGTGTGACCCATGAATATCATGCCATTTAAGTATAAACGGCATGACTTCCACTGCAACCCTTTTAAAACACGGTCCATCAGCTGTGCTAGTGATTGAAACTCTAGACATAACTGGCATATCGGAAATCTTTTCAGTATTGACCTCACGTGATAGATACTGAATTCTCATGACAGAAGTGTTTCGATATTATTCGGTTCCATCGGTAAAAAAAACCATTTAGTTTAGTTGATTGATTCAAAAAGAACTAGTTGAACGAGAGCGAAAATGAACTTGTGAAGCAATGGAACTAGGCAAACGAAAGAACCTTACCTAGTACCGATCGTTCCTTTTGCGTAATAGTTCCTTTGAACTGGTTCATTTCTAAACGACCCATATCAAAGAAAAATGATTGCCAGCTAGATGTAAACGGAGAAACGGTTTTATATTGATGCCGTGAGGTAAATTGAACTTTGCTGAGAATTTAAATATATTTGAAGTTCTGTAAACAAATCGAAGCTGCTGAAAAAATTCGAATGTTAGAAGAGAACACTGACTAAGAACAACAAATAAATTTGTTAGCCTTGCTTTATGGTAAATCGTCGCAAAAGTTGGATAGTTCAAAGGAACCGTTCCTCAAATGGAACGATCGATCTTTCCTTCATCTAGTTCCTTTTTCGTTAATCGATTTTTGATTGGCCGACTTAAATATTTGCGAGCGAACCGAAAGAGATCTAGCTAGTCTTGTGTCGTTCGTGAAAGACCAAGTTCAATTGAACGAATCAGTCCACTGAACGAGTTCAATGAACGATTTTGTTTACCAAACGTCGTCGGTCACTGAACGACACAGAATTTTATTCTACACCTTCAGTGTCGTTCAGGGGTGCTCTGGCTTTGACCAACTGAATGGCGTCAAACAATATCAACTTCATGTAAAATCTGATTAATTGAAAAAAGAAACTCGGAAAATTAGTTCATTGTGGTGTTCAAAAAATCAAATGCAAATACTCTAGTAGTGTTTTAAGCATAGCTATGGGGACAGAAAATAATTTGAAGTGACATTTAAAAGGATAGCACTCATTAGATTTACTTGACTCCCAAAAACAGCCGGTAGAAGGGAGCTTGAAACCATGGAAGAAGAGGCACAGGTGTCCGGAGCAACAACTGTAGTGCAAACAAGTGTGCAGCCGAATATAACTGGGTGCAGAAAATATATAGTCAAGTTTTTCGTATGATTGGGAAAAGTTATCATTCTTTGCGATTGATAGAACTGGCAGCATAAATACAATACCAATTGAACGATATAAGGCAAGTGAACGAGATGAACGACCTAGTTCAATTAAAAAAAAAATACCTAGTTTGTTCGTAATTGGCCAAGACTAGATCTAGCCCCTTCAGGAAGTAGATCTAAAATCATCATGATTACAATTTGGAAGGCACCATAACGATGAGAGCTAATAACCAACGATGTTTGCAGACCGTTCCAATATCATTCAGAAGATATGAGTATATATTCATCTTATTCAACGTACTTATCAGTTTCAGATGCAAAAATTCCACTACTCCCGCGAAAATTTCAATACTATTAGTGGTAGCCAATAGAATTAATATTGAAATTTAAAATGTAAAATCCTTACCTTTTCTGTACACGGCACACCATGTTTGAGCTGCTGAAATCCAGAACATTTGTTCCGGTGTATAATTTAAACCGGGCAATTTTGGTTCTTCACCATTCTTTTCCACCCATCTCTTATAGGCAATGTATGATTCTTTGATGCCGCCATTATCGGCAATATTTTCACCCTGAGTATTAATACCATTAAGCTGGAAGGGAAGAAAGATACAAAAATTAATTTAAAAAAAATATTAACAAATTATTTCTAATATCACGTTTACATAGTTGTGATTTATTAAAGTAGTCAAATAAAAGACCTATAATAAGATTACCCAGTATGATCAGCTGTTTGTCAACCTTGCTGTCAAACCGCATTATTGTGAATAGATTCTAATAATTTTATTTGGAAAAGAAGAAGCTAACGAATTGATTGCTGAAAAGCCTATTATTAAGATCAGCAAGAAAGTGAAAATACAATTATTTTCCTCAAGTTTATTATCAACCAGTGAGCGGAGCAGTATAGTCGGACGGGGCCGACCACATGATACCCTACACAACTTTCATGAAAATCTAACTTTCTGTGGTTCTATATTCTGAGATTGGGCAATATTTTGCGATATTTGCACACTTTTGACTGGTTAGAGGTCAGAAAATGTTACTAATAATCAGTACAGCCCCTCTAATTACTTGTCCAGATTCCCTTCACCGTAGGTTGTGTTGTGATGTTCGGCTTCCGGCTCGAAAAGTACAAATAATTAAGTTTTCGGCACACTTCATCCGAAAAATTATTATCTGATCATCACCTAAAATTTTAGGCGTTGTCATTGACCATAACTGGAACCTCATGGAACATTTCAAAGCGAGCAGGCTATATATATCCGCCCTAAAGTGTGGTAATAAGTTACTAAATAATATATGAATACGTAAGCACCTGTAAATATTCAAGTGTAACTCCTGCATCCGAGTACCTACGACAATATGATTGGTAACAATTTAAAGGTCAACCACTCCTCTTGGATATACTATTAACTTCTCGGATCTATGTCCTTCAGGAGTAAATATATACGCCATAGAATACAAATTTTGTAATTTTTCATACAAAAATCAGGGTCCATTTTACCCACTAAATATTGACCGATCTTTATATAAAAACAGGCGTGCTTATTCTTTGGCCCGACCCCCTTCTCCATGTGAAAATTCGCGAAGTTCCGGCCATAATTGCGGCCTCTGGAACGACCAGAAATTTGGACAAAAATAAAGTTTTTGGTAAAGTGCAGTCAATTCACAATAAAGTGCAGTCAATTCACAATAATGAATTTTGAAATCTAGCTTGTGAATCAGCTGATCTCTCTGGATGGCCTTATTTATAGGCCTTGTATTGATGTTAAACTCGTAAGGACATATGCCAACAATTTCTCCTTAGTAAAGGGCTAAGCAGAATGCTCGCGTTGAGCCATCCGTCGCGTTATATGTTATCGAAAATACAACAACCACAAGGAAACGATAACACAAACGCATATCGTTTCCTTGTGGTTGTTGTATTTTTGATAACATATAACGCGACGGATGGCTCAACGCGAGCAATGCCAACCATTTATCCTAAGTAAAACCGGAATACGAATTTTCCACTTCGATCAAATCTGTGACATCGAACAAGATCTATTAGTATGTTCACCCATAATGTTCTTTTACTTTATATAAAGTGAAGTCAATTGACAATAATTAATTTTGACAGCAAACGTAAGAAGCAGCTGTTAAACAGCTGATCTTCCTAAATGACATTATTAATAGCATTTGACATTAAATCAATATGTATTAATAAAGTCAACCGGCAAGAGAATGTCTAATGTCAAAATTTTGGACTTTGTTTACGTTTTCATAATGGAAGTCAATTCACAATAGTGGATTTAGACAGCAAACTGAAGAATTAGCTGATAAACAGATGATCTTTCTGATTGATCTTATAAATTGGCCTTGAAAATAAACATAATGAAAAACCAGTAAGGAAAATAGTAAAGTCGGACGAGGCCGACTATATGATACCCTTCACCAATTCACAAGCATCAATTCAGTACGCTATGTCAAATTTCGTGCACATCGAAAGATATATAGGGACTTTGGTGCACCATTTAAATGAAATCGGACGAAACTATATATGGGAGATATATCTAAATCTTGACCGATTTTCACGAAACTTGGCAGAAATCACTCTAGGCTCAATTTAGTACGTTATGCCAAATTTCATTCAAATCGAAATATATATAGGGACTTTGGTGCACCATTTACATGAAATCGACCGAAACTATATATGGGAGCTATATCTAAATCTGGACCGATTTTCATGAAACTTGGCAGACATCACTCTAGGCTCAATTCAGTACGTTATGACAAATTTCGTGCAAATCGAAAGATATACATGGGGACTTTGGTGCACCATTTACATGAAATCGGTCGAAACTATATATGGGAACTATATCTACATCTGAACCGATTTTCACGAAACTTGGCAGAGATCATTCTACGCTCAATATAGCACGTTATGCCAAATTTCGAGCAAATCGAAAGATATACATGGGGACTTTGGTGCACCATTTACATGAAATCGGTCGAAACTTTATATGGGAGCTATATCTAAATCTGGACCGATTTTCATGAAACTTGGCAGACATCACTCTAGGCTCAATTCAGTACGTTATGCCAAATTTCGTGCAAATCGAAAGATATAAAGGGACTTTGGTGCACCATTTACATGAAATCGGACGAAACTACACATTGGAGCTATATCTAAATCTGGACCGATTTTCACGAAACTTGGCAAACATCATTCTATGCTCAATTTTGTACGTTATGCCAGTTTTCGTGCAAATCAAAAGATATAAAGGGACTTTGGTGCACCATTTACATGAAATCGGACGAAACTTTACATGGGATCTATATCTACATCTGAACCGATTTTCACGAAACTTGGCAGACATCATTCTAGTCTAAATTCAGTACGTTATACCAAATTTCGTGCAAATCGAAATATATATAGGGACTTTAGTGCACCATTTACCTTAAATCGGACGAAAATATATATGGGAGCTATATCTAAATCTGAACCGATTTTTCCCAATTTCAATAGGGTTCGTCCTTGGGCCAAACAAATGAGCTGTGCCAAATTTCATCCCATTCGGATTATAAATGCGACTTGTACTTTGTTTACAATTTAACATCAACAGACGGACGGACGGACATGCATAAATCGAGTCAGAAAGTGATTCTATGCATATTCTCAAAATGAACTATGGGTCTATTTCGTTTCCTTTTGCCTGTTACAAACATATGCACAAAGACATAATACCCTGTACCACAGTGTGGTGAAGAGTATAAACAGCTGTCTTGGTGGCCTTCCAGATAACCCCAAAATCATCCACAATCAACAACTTACATTCAAACCAGTTTGTCTATCGGTAAAGTTGCCATATTGTTCAATAATACACTTGGCCTTTTCCAAATAGGCTTTTTGGGTATCGGGTTCCCACCAATCGACCAAATTGCCCTCCAAATCAAAGGTACGACCTTGATCATCGAAGCCATGGGTAATTTCGTGACCAATAACGTAACCAATGGCACCATAATTCATGTACTTGGGACGATGGGCATTGAAGAAGTGACCCTGCAAGATGCCAGCGGGGAATTCTGTAAAACGAGAGAGATATTAATAATTTGTTTAAAATCAAAGAGAAAGAGCTTAAAAATTATACTTACGTATACTATTCTCAATCGACGAATAGAAAGCATTCACCACAGCCGGACGGGCATGACGAATCCAATCGGTCTTGTTCACCGGCAATCTCAATTTATTGAACGAATAATCGGTACCGAAAACATTCATTTTCAAGAACGATTCAAAATATTTATCCGCATCGATATCCAGTTTATCATAGTATTCAGCCAACTTGTTGTCGTCCAACATTTCATCGGGATAACCAATATGGGTGGTCATATGTTTCAATTTCCTCTTGGCCTCAGCTTTGGTCTTATCGTCCATCCAGGAAACTTCATCCAAAATATTATCGAATACATCGCGTATGTTGTTAACCATTTCCAGAGCATTCGATTTGGAGTCTTCCTTGAAGTATTTGCGTACGTACAACGAACCCACCGAGATGGCTAAGCTGTTTGGTTTCCAATTCAATTTTTGGGGGTTTTTGCGAATTTGAAATGTGGCAAATATTGGCATGTAGGTATGTATGTGTAGTGGGTGGAAAAGCGCGGCGAAAAAATATTTTGTTGCATGATTTCGATTTTTTGTTGTTGTGGTTAAAATGTTGTCATGAAATAAAAATGTTGTCGATTTTTTTTGTTTTTAGCGACAAAATTATGTCGATTATGGTTTTTGAGTTGGTTTTCGTGTGTGTATTTGTTTGGTAAGTAATTTTGAAAATAAAAAATGAAACGAAAAATAAAAATTATTTTGTTTGTATTATTATATATATTAGGAAATGATTTAATAAAAAATAACAAATTATTAATTTAAAGCTTTTTGGGTTAAAATAAAGCTAAAAAACTCGTGAGGATTAATATATGTGTGGTGGCCGAAACCTTAAATATTGAATTGTGTGTAGAACAAAAATCAACGAACATAAATTATGGTGATTCGGAAAACTATAAAATTTGCATATGTGTGTGTGTGATAATGTTATAACGTAATGTTCCAGGACCTCTGGATTTGATATGCGCTATTCCACTAGTTTGTAACAATAACTAAGCTCGGATGAGTTGAGTTGATCGCAAATGAATGCAGTAGGATAGATATATTTCAGAAAATCTAAGATTGCGGTATTATATGTATGACAGATATTTTAGGTAAACTATATTTTTTTCCAGAAAACAAGAAGAACTGGAATGGAATTAGAGACTCTGAATGATTTCTAATTGACTGATCGCTCGTTTATTGTACCTGTGCAATCCTGTTTTGAATGGGGATAATTAAATTGGCTCTCGACTAATCGATTAATCGACTTTTTGTATTGAAAAATCTAAAATCGAAGTATTAAGCAAATCGATACGTCGACTTTGCTTTATTATTACAAAGCCCAAATTGCTCAAAAATTACAAATTCCAGAACTTTATTTTATCTGTTGAAAACAATTCATATAAAAAAATCAAATTTTTAGTCGATAAAAGTTGAAAATCGATTTTGACAAAATCGAAAGTCGATTTTTTTTTTGTCAAAGGCAAAAATCGAAAACTTAAAAAGTCGACTTTTTGGTCGGAGGCAAAAATAGAAAATTTTTTGCACTCGACCACGTTCCGAAGCTGCAATAAAGTGAGGGAATTTCAAAAAACAGGGAATTTCGAGATTAATCCCACAAGTCTGATCTGAGTAGTCTGATCTTTTGTTTGAATATTCGTGCAGTAATTCCATGCCGATCACAGGGAGTGGGCCTGTCTACAAAAGTTTTGAAATTTCAGTCCATTTCAGATTGCAAGTGAATGTGATAAATAAATCCGGGCGCCCGTAATTCCGTACGTTAGTAATCGCGTCTTGAGCATAGTCATGTATTTGACGTGGGTTTCCAATATAAGTAGTTGGAAGTATGCTTAAACAACCGATGTTGGATGCATTTCCTTCTGTAGTGATAGTGGGAGCATTATGCTGTCTTGCATGGCCCCAAGCGGGTCTGTTTTTGCTGCAATAATGATTTTGTGGTCGCTCATGCAGACATTTTTGCAATTGTTAGATTATTTCACGTTTAGTAGCAGTAAAAATTTCACAACGTTGATCCAATATATTTGAGAAAAGTTATCTTGGTTTGGTGGGGGTAACATAGAGCGGGTGCTATGGTGAATTTGCCCTTGAATTAAATTGTTTTGAAGATTGAAGTAATTTTGAAAATAAAGAAGCGCCATTACCTAATAACTTGGATTGTAGCCGGCAACTTCGGCTCCAAATGACGTCATTTAAAAACATCCATTATATTTTTGTATATTAGACAGAAAGTGTTTTGCCTGCATTGTATTACCATAGAGCAAGGAATACAATGGCTCAGGAGGATGAACCAATGGAGGGAATTTTACCTTGCCACCAGCGCAGCATAAGACGGGGGTTTCACATTGGATTTTCAATGCATTACAATGCTGACGTATGACATATAATGAATCGATATCAACGTACCGAAAGTCTTTGTAGATCATTGTTGAATCGTATTCAAATGCTGCGCGACTCAAGTCCGTATTTACTACTGGTCTTCTTTTATAAATATTCGATTGGACACGTCTCCAATGAGTTATTTTTGCACGTTCCTCTTACGATTGAGAGTTACGGATATTTTGACTGACTATTGCACGGCGTGTACGTCGTCGAAGATTTAACCGTCTAATAGAAGGTATTATCCCAACAAATAACTCTCATAGAACCAACAAATACAGCATAATTTATGATATTCAAAAGAATAATCTATTCAAAAAAGACAACTTACGGAATTAATGATCGGAACCGAAGTGAATAATTTGAATTTGTAATTGTTTTAATTTTTTACTCAATATAAAATGACAATAAAGAAGGAACATGACAAATTTATCAAAGACAACGTACAGCTTAAAGCAATATATTAAGTTGTGCCATCCATTCAGCATAGAACCATCAGCTAACATCCATTATCATGGTTTTCATAATTATGCGAAATTTTCAAGAACCGCAAAAATTTCCCATAAACCAAAATCAAATCATGCGTAAAATTAATTCAGTTAGAATTTAAATTTTTCCATTCGAAAAGCCATTATACAGTGAGCAGCAAAAGTCATGGTACCCCATACAAATAATCAAATATTCAGTAATTACTCAAAAAATAATTTACAAAATTTAAAACAATTTTTTTATTTTATGTATTCACTCCTATACTACAACAATGGAAAGTAATATTTCATTTATTTGTTCCAACAAACCATAAAAAGAATCGAAATCGTGTCAACTCCAAATTTTTGCACAGCATAAGTCATGGCACCCCTGGTCAGAGCTGATATTACACATCATTTATGGGATAAAATCGTTTAGTAAAATAGGTGGCAACTATTTAGAGTTTTGTCAAATTCTCTTTTAAAACAATAACGGTACTTTCCACATTCCCAAAAAGCATTTGCTTAGTGCAACAAGTGAAAGCAAGTATTTTTTAAAATGCCTGGAAAAAACTAACTATTGAAGAGCGAAAAATAATAATTGATAACCATAAAATGGGAAAATCCTATTCCGAAACAGGTAAAATGATAAACAGGACCAAATCAGCAGTCCAAAAAGTAGTTAATCGATACAAAAAAGAAAATACAATTGAAAATAAACCGCGATCAGGCCGTCCCAGGAGGCTCAACATCAGAGAAGAACGAAAAATTGAAAGTATTTTTAAAAAAAGGATCCATTCACCAGCTCTCTAAAATCGCTACAGCCTTAAAAGAATCATTTTGGGAAAGCCGCATCAAAAAGTGTGGATTCGATGCTCGCACTGCCCGCAAAAAAAAAAAAAAAAAAAAACACTTGTTAATAAAACAAACAGAAAGAAGCGTGTCGATTTTGCAAATGATTTTAAAAACAAGACAAATGAGTTCTGGGAAAAAGTTATTTTCTCGGACGAATCGATATTTAACATATTTGGGTCGGATGGACGCTCTTTGGTGTGGCGGAAAAAAGGCGAAGAGCTCAATCCAAAGAATACTCGGAAAGCAGTAAAGCTCGGAGGGGTTGGAGTAATGGTATGGGGATGCATGTCAGCAACTGGTGTTGGCAATTTGGTATTCATTGAGGAAATAATGAATAAAACAGTTTTCATGAATATTTTGGAACAAAATTGGAATCAAAGTGGTGAAAAACTCAACATTCGTGATAATCATCTAGATAAACGATTCCGAAATCATTCAATTTCCAGAAAGGCCCAACTCAAAGAAATACTTCCGACAGAATGGGGTAAAATATCGTCCGACTACACTAAAAAACTTGTATACTCAATGCCCGAACGATTGAATGAAGTTTTAAAACACAAGGGATATCCTAACAAATATTAGTTAAGTCAATTTAATTGTAAACATTAAGTAATATTAAATAATTCATTATTTTTCTCCAGGAGTACCAAGACTTATGCTGTGCAAAAATATGGACTTTTCAATATGTCTATTTTGTTTTATATTTTGTTTTAATAAAAAAAAATGAAATATTACTTTAATTTGTTGTAGTATAGGATTGAATACATGAAATAAAAATATATATTTGAAATTTTGTGAATTACTTTTTGATGAATTACTGAATATTTTTTGATTTGTATGGGGTACCATGACTTTTGCTGCTCACTGTACATGGATAGAGCAAAATCATGTTTTCTTTTAAATATTCCGCGATTATCAGTTAGAAGTTTCAATTTTTCCATTTTTGGTTTCTTATTATTAAATTTAACTCTAATGAATATATAAATTTATTTTTATATACAAACATTTTTCAAGGTAATGGCAATCCAATTGATTGTAGAAAATTAACATATTTTGAAAATTTTCCATAATTGACAATTACTTAAATGTATTATTCGCTGGCAATTTTCGCCAAAAATATGTCCAAAAAGATCTACGTAGAGATGAAATTATAAAGGTTCGATATAAAACGTGTGGAAATGCTAATATCTTTCAATATATATTTTGCAACATTTTTCGCGGATTTTTCTCAAAATTTTCTTGCATTAAAAGATTTCCACTTCAATTAAAGACTACTAACAGAAAATTTAAGTCGAATCGGTCCAGCCGTTTTTTTTTTAATAATTTTTGCAAGATTTTCGCGGGGTTTTCTCAAAATTTTCCTTCATAAAAACCTTCCCACAGTAATTACCGACAACTGAAAGAAATTTTGAGTCAAATCGGTCCAGCCGTTCTCAATTGATGAGTTAGTATACATTTTTGGCACAATTTTTATATATATAGAAGATATCTAGTATCAAGTTTGTTATATATTAAGCTCCAAAAAAAATATTTTTTTAAAAATGCTGAGCCCTGAAAAATATTTTTGAAAAAATCCACGCCTATGACAGGTTGCCTAGCAGAAAAACAGAAACTACCCTGAAGATGTATATGAATATGTAATCTATTCCATTATATATGTTTTGAATACTATTATTATTATACACCCTTGCCCAAAAGCAGTTGAAGCATTTTATAATATTTTGACACTCAACGATGACAGTTCTACTTAATTTATATAATGATATCCAAAAATTCATTTTAAAAAATATTTTAAAGCAATTTCTTATTTAAAGTTTACCTTGTTTTTCTACATTACAAAAAAGAAAATGAAAACAGAAAATAATTAAAAATTTTAGATGATATTTCAGTAACTATATGACATAGGAATGTATGGGATATGTATGTAGGTTGTAGTTCATATCCTAACTATTTGAAAATGTTCTATAAAACTATTTTGTTACAATAGAACCTTACTAAGAAAATTCGATATGATATCTGTTTGTCTACATAGAAAAAAAGAACATTTCAAATACCCTTCTTCATTATCATCCACTTCAATACTGTCGGAAACGTAAAAAAAGAAACATTAAAATAGAAAATTTTCTTTTGTAAAAATATGAATTCGCTTGAAAAAAAATAATGATATGAAATAATGATATGATTAACAAACAATGACTATAAAGCTGTAAATTCAAATAAAAATTGCGGTACAGGCAAAAATAATCGAGATAGACCTATGGTTCCTTTTGACAATATGCATAGAATACCTTTCTGAATCGATTTATGCATGTCCGTCCGTCTGTACATGTTAAAAAGTAAATACAGTGCAGGTCACATATATGATCCGAATCGGATGAAATTTGGCACAGCTCATTTGTTTGGCCCAAGGACGAACCATATTGAAATTGGGAAAAATCGGTTCAGATTTACATATAGCTCCCATATATATTTTCGTCCGATTTCAGGTAAATGGTGTAACAAAGTCCTTATATATCTTTCGATTTGCACGAAATTTGGCACAGCGTAATGAATAAAGTCTAGAGTGATGTGTGCAAAGTTTCGTGAACATCGGTTCAGATTTAGTTATAGGTCCCATCTATAGCTTCGTCCGATTTAAGGTAAATGGTGTACCAATGTTCCTATATATCATTCGACTTGCACGAAATTTGGCACAGCGTAATGAATTAGGTCTAGAATGATGTGTGTTAAGTTTCCTGAAAATCCGTTCAGATTTAGATATAGCTCCCATATATATTTTCAACCGATTTAAGGTAAATGGTGCACCATAGTCCCTATATATCTCTCGATTTGCACGAAAGTTGGCACATCGTAATGAATTAGGTATAGAATGATGTGTGCTAAGTTTCGTGGAAAAAGTTTCAGATTTACATATAGCTCTCATATATATATTTAAGGTAAATGGGGCACCAAAGACCCTCTATATCTTTCGATTTGCACGAAATTTGGCACAGAGTACTGAGTTAGGTTCAGAATGATGTTTGCCAAGTTTCGAGAAAATCGGTTCAGATTTAGATATAGCTCTCATATATATTTTCGTCCGATTTAATGTAAATGGTGCACCAAAGTCGCTATATATCTCTCGATTTGCACGAAATTTGGCACAGCGTAATGAATTAGGTCTAGAATGAAGTGTGTTAAGTTTCCTGAAAATCGGTTCAGATTTAGATATAGCTTCCATATATATTTTCGTCCGATTTAATGTAAATGGTCCACCAAAGTCCCTTTATATCTTTCGATTTGCACGAAATTTGGCACAGCGTAATGAATTAGGTCTAGAATGAAGTGTGTTAAGTTTCCTGAAATTCGGTTCAGATTTACATATAGCTCTCATATATATTTTCGTCCGATTTAATGAAAATGGTGTACCAAAGTTCCTATATATCATTCGATTTGCACGAAATTTTGCACATCGTAATGAATTAGGTATAGAATGATGTGTGTTAAGTTTCCTGAAAATCGGTTCAGATTTAGATATAGCTTCCATATATATTTTCGTCCGATTTAAGGTAAATGGTGCGCCAAAGTCCCTACATATCTCTCGATTTGCACGAAAGTTGGCACAGCGTAATGAATTAGGTCTAGTATGATGTGTGCTACGTTTCTTGAAATCGGCTCAGATTTAGATATAGCTTCTATATCTGGCCAAATGAAAAATTTAGTATCGGTTGCAGAATGACATGTTTATGGATCCAACTTCATTTTACTGGTCCTTTAAAAATGCGACGTCTGTTAGAATTCATCTGTTGGATATACCGAAAGTGGTGAAGGGAATCATATAGCCGGCCCCGTCCGACGTTACTACTTTCCTTACTGGTTTAGTTTTTAACGCTGAGTCCTCTTCATTTTGATTCCCGTCAAATTAATTTTTAATATGATCTATCAATTAATTTTTAATATGGAGACGTTGGAAGATGTGATCTGAAAGGCCTTCTTAAAGAAAAGCTGTATTAAGAATATTATGCTAGGGCTTTACAAGATGAGCCCAAACTTGAGATTGTACTCAATATCTGTCACGAGTTTATTTAGCCTATGAAAACCGAAAATAATCAGAGGACGGAACAAGGTTTGGGAGGTATCCTTTTGCATATTTCAAATTCTAACACCATTAGATCCCGAAATTTAAAATTATAATCTCTCCAGATGGTACCGTATAGAATTTATTCCAAAATGTGGACCGAAATTTTAATGGTCTATGGTAAATAGTTGTGTCTCTACCCTGATTTCAATGGACAGAAGGATTTTCTAAACGTTGGTAAAATTTCTGTATGAAAAAACCAAGTCCATTTGAAAATTATTTTAAAAAAATCAACGCTTATCGGGGACCCTTAAAAATATTAAAAAAAAATCACGATTATCGAAGAATTTTTAAAAAAAATTTAAAAAATTCTCGACAATCGAAAACAGATTAAAAATTGTTTTTTTTTATCAAAATATTATCGTTACAAAAATTTTTTGAAAATAATTTTTAAACAAAAAAAAATGGTGCTTAACAAAATTTATCGTGAAACAAAACAAAAAATGCTTAACAAATGACATGGTTAATAAACTTGTGATGACATAAAAACAAACAAAATTTCAAACTAGTGTATGAATGTATGTGGACATATAAGGGATTGATTTATGTGATCTTACGTATCATCATCGTCACCGCTAGAATGTTTGTTCCATAAAAAAAAATAAAAAAAGAGAGACACAAAGAAAAAAGAAGAGAAAATAGAAATAATAACATATACACATGTCCTTCAGAAGAGAATGTGAAAATTTTGGAAAAACAAAAATGAAAGACTCGAACACACAAACACGAACGATACCGAACATTTACAAACAGGAAACGGAAATACAAAGACATGCTAAATAATAACAAGAACGGATAATTACAACTACAAAAAAAGAGAGAGAGAAAGTAAACACAAAATTTTCCATAAACATGCAAAATTTTGTAAACGCATGCTCTCCGAACAACAACAACAAAACATTACACCAAAAACACTAGGGAGAAAATAAAACCAAACCCCTTCAACTGCTTACCTTCCTGATGAAATATCAACACATTCCTTCCAACGGGCCTCCTGTTCCTGGCGACCCGTCAATGCGGTGGCATATTGCAATTGACGTTTACGGAATTCCTCCGATAGGAAAGCCACCGAAAAGGCATGAATACGCCACATCATATAATTGGCAATGGTACGTTTGGGGGTACGTTTCAACAGTTTACCCAATTCCTCCATAAAACTGGGAACCGATAGATTGATAACTTCATTTTCATCGACCTTCAAACCTTCCGGCAGCAAGGCATTAATGTAATCCAACCATTGTACATAGGGATAGGCCTCTTGGATTTCTTTGATTGTTCTCAAGTTATACAAATCATTGGAGTTACGTCTCTTCTCATTGGACCAGGAGATCTGCATGAAAGGAATATGTAAATATTATTCACAGATATTGATCTTGATTCCATGCTACTTACATTGGCCAAATCCATTTCGAATTGTAAAGATTCGGATAATTCCTTGGTGGCTCTATCTTTGTCGGCACCGAAAAGTACTGCCATATCAACCATATATTCATAGTAGGCCTTGACCAGGGTCTCATTGAAGCCCTTAATTAGATATTCACGACTTAAGCCGATGGACGATTGATCCAACTGGAAATAATAGAGAATTAAATTAATTAATGAAAATGAAATATCAAGAAAAATAGTTAAGCGCCTAAAAGTATGCTACACATGAGAAACACATTAAACAGGGATGGGGCTTTTGAACACACGTTTGTTAGCAGATACTTTTAATGAACGTGATTTTTATACCCTTCACCACACTGTGGTGATCCGATTTGTATGAAATTTGGCACAAGTCACTTATTTGGCCCAAGGGCAAACCCTATTGAAATTGGGAAAAATCGGTTCAGATTTAAATATAGCTCCCATATATATTTTCGTCCGATTTAATAGAGATGGTGCACCAAAGTCCCTATATATATTTCGATTTGCACGAAATTTGCCACAGTGTAATTAATTAGGTCTAGAATGATGTGCGCTAAGTTTCCTGAAAATCGGTTCAGATTTAGATATAGCTCCCATATATAGTTTCGTCCGATTTAAGAGAAATGGTGCACCAAAGTCCCTATATATCTTTCGATTTGCACGAAATTTTGCACAGTGTAATTAATTAGGTCTAGAATGATGTGCGCTAAGTTTCCTGAAAATCGGTTCAGATTTGAATATAGCTCTCATATATATTTTCGTCCAATTTTATGTAAATGTTGTACCAAAGTCCCTATATATCATTCGATTTGCACGAAACTTGGCATATCGAACTGAATTAAGTCTAGAATGATGTGTGTAAATTTTCCTGAAAATCGGTTCAGCTTTTAGATATAGCTCCCATATATATTTTCGTCCGATTTAATAGAAATGGTGTACCAAAGTCCCTATATATCTTTCGATTGGCACGAAAGTCCCTACATATATTTCGATTTGCACGAAATTTGGCACAGCGTAATGAATTAGGTATAGAATGAAGTGGGTTAAGTTTCCTGTATATCGGTTCAGATTTAGATATAGCTCCCATATATATTTTCGTCCGATTTAATAGAAATGGTGTACCAAAGCTCCTATATATCATTCGATTTTCACGGAATTTGGCACAGCGTAATGAACTAGGTATAGAATGATGTGTGTTAAGTTTCCTGAAAATCGGTTCAGATTTAGATTAGCTCCCATATATATTTTCGTCCGACTTAAGGTAAATGGTGTACAAAAGTCCCTATATATCTTTCGATTTGCACGAAATTTGGCACAGAGTAATGAATTAGGTCTAGAATGATGTGTGTTATGTTCCCTGAAAATCGGTTCAGATTTAGATATAGCTCCCATATATATTTTCGTCCGATTTAATGTAAATGGTGCACCAAAGTCCCTATATATATTTCGATGTGCACGAAATTTGGCACAGCGTAATGAATTAGGTATATAATGATGTGTGTACATTTTCCTGCCAATCGGTTCAAATTTAGATATACCTCCCATATATATTTTCGTCCGATTTAAGGTAAATGGTGTACAAAAGTCCCTATACATCTTTCGATTTGCACGAAATTTGGCACAGCGTAATGAATTAGGTATAGAATTATGTGTGTTAAGTTTCCTGAAAATCGGTTCAGATTTAGATATAGCTCCCATATATATTTTCGTCTGATTTAAGGTAAATGGTGTACAAAAGTCCCTATATAGCTTTCGATTTACACGAAATTTGATATATTGCACTGAATTAGGTCTAGAATGATGTGCGTTAAGTTTCCTGAAAATCGGTCCAGATTTAGATATAGCTTCTATATCTGACCAAATGAAAAATTTAGATAGATTGCAGAATGCCATGTTTATGGATCCAATTTCATTTTACTGGTCCTTTAAAAATGCGACGTCTGTTAGGATCCATCTGTTGAATATACCCAAAGTGGTGAAGGGGATCATATAGTCGGCCCCGTCCGATTTTACTACTTTCCTTACTGGTTTAATATACTTTAGGTGTTTATTTTTTTAAATATGTTTTAAAAGCCTTAGAATAGGCGTGGATTTTTTTAAATATTTTTAAAGGCCTTAGAATAGGCGTGGCTTTTTAAATATTTTTTAAAAGCCTTAGAATAGGCGAGCATTTTTAAATATTTTTTAACTTTTCAATAAATATTTTGATTGAATTATTTCCTATCTTGTATCTGTGTATGTATTTGTGCTGTCGTTCCTACTTACATCAATAATACGCTTGGTACTGTTCTTCAAATCGACACCGATGGAGAAATCCACAATATAATCCATGCTGAATCCAAGACGACGGAATTTCTTGACAGTTTCTTGCCAAGTCCAGGTATCGTCTTGATCCCAGGCATCACCAACAATAACAGGCCAACCACCCAATCGGGAGGCGATTTCTTTAATTGGCGTAGCACCCATCGATTCAATTAGAGCTACAAAGCGGAAATATTTTCCAAAATTAAAAATAAATTCCAAAAATGTCCACCAAATAACCTACTTTTATTCATACAGGCCCTGTATAAGGCATTGGGTAAACGGAAATGTTTTGGATCAGTTTCGGGACGTTCTTCGGCAACGATATCTTTAAGTTGTTCCTGTAATTTATCCGAAATAATGGAGAATGTGTTAACGGCCACTTTGTCATCGGGGATGTTAGTCTCCTCGATGTAGGTGCCGCAGGAGAAACGATAGAAATCGTCACATGGTTCGATTTCGGTTTTCATTTTACTCAACACAGCCGATGCTGTGTGTATGCATTCGGATGTCAGACAGACATCGGTATCTCTTTTACTATGGCCACCATCAGACTTGTTCGGTGTCATGGGGACTTGATTTTGTGTGGGCTTTGAGGTTGCGCCATGTAATGCCAGATTCATGGGATCTTCGGGTTTGAGTTCTGCAAAACAATTTTTAAATTAAAATAATTTTGTATTGTCTCCATATATCGATCTCCTTACCTTCAGCCATGTGATTTGTGAGCAAAACAAAACACAAGCCAGCTATGAGACCAACAACGGCAAGGCAGGCGAATATTGAAATCAAGGTTAGACATCTTTCCAGTGTGGTACGTCTACGCCACCAGTTGGGATTTCTGGAAAACAAAGAAAAAAAGCGAATCATAAGTTAAACGTTGATAAACGCTGGCAAAATGTTAATAACCCTTAGATGCAATTTGATGATGATCCTCTTCCCCTCCCCTACCCTCCCTCTCATGACTCTTCCCATTCACCACAAAATCCAATACAATTTCCTCTCAATGGAAAAAAAATCCAAACCTATCCAGTTTAGCCATTATCTTTTCGAATCGCAGAGACAATTCGAAGCAACAACTTATTATGCCAATAATGAAGAAAAAAGAAAGACCAACAACAACAATAGCAAAAAACCAAAGTAAATGTTTATTGTAATACTCGATCCCGTCATTGTGGCCGCTGCTGCTGCTGTCGTCGGTCGTCATTATAGGCCTAGCCGTCAACAAATATTGTCAACCTCCAGATTTACAAAAGTCTCATAAATATTAATGCGGTCTAAAGTCTGAAGGCTTCCCTCCATCCATCTCAAGTGTTGGTGGTTTAGAGGTTTCCATTGCAAATCAAAAAAACCATCAGCCATGCCATTAGAGGTGGAAGTTTGTTGCATGGTGAACTCAATGTATCTACTGGTAAAGGACAGTGGGACCAATCCAATTTTTTTTTATTTTAAAATGTTTTTAAAAAATCCACGCCTTTTGTAAGACCCTAGAAAAATATTTTTTAAAAAAATCCACGTCTTTTGCAAGACCTTAGAAAAATATTTTTTAAAAAATCCACGCCTTTTGTAAGACCCTAGAAAAATATTTTTTTAAAAAAATCCACGTCTTTTGCAAGACCTTAGAAAAATATTTTTTAAAAAATCCACGCCTTTTGTAAGACCCTAGAAAAATATTTTTAAAAAATCCACGCCTTTTGTAAGACCCTAGAAAAATATTTTTAAAAAATCCACGCCTTTTGCAAGACCCTAGAAAAATATTTTTAAAAAATCCACGCCTTTTGTAAGACCATAGAAAAATATTTTTAAAAAATCCACGCCTTTTGTAAGACCCTAGAAAAATATTTTTAAAAAATCCACGCCTTTTGTAGGACCCTAGAAAAATATTTTTTAAAAAATACACGCCTTTTGTAAGACCCTAGAGAAATATTTTTAAAAAATCCACGCCCTTTGTAAGACCCTAGAAAAATATTTTTAAAAAACCTTAGAAAAATAGTTTTAAAAAACCTTAGAAAAATATTTTTTAAAAAATCTACGCCTTTTTCAAGACCCTAGAAAAATATTTTTAAAAAATCCACGCCTTTTGTAAGACCCTAGAAAAATATTTTTAAAAAACCTTAGAAAAATATTTTTAAAAAACCTTAGAAAAATATTTTTTAAAAAATCTACGCCTTTTTCAATACCCTAGAAAAATATTTTTAAAAAATCCACGCCTTTTTCAAGACCATAGAAAAATATTTTTAAAAAAATCCACGCCTTTTTCACGACCTTAGAAAAATATTTTAAAAAAATCCACGCCTTTTGTAAGACCCTAGAAAAATATTTTTAAAAAATCCACGCCTTTTGTAAGACCCTAGAAAAATATTTTTAAAAAAATCCACGCCTTTTGTAAGACCCTAGAAAAATATTTTTAAAAAATCCACGCCTTTTGTAAGACCCTAGAAAAATATTTTTAAAAAATCCACGCCTTTTGTAAGTCCTAGACCTAGAAAAATATTTTTAAAAAATCCACGCCTTTTTCAAGACCATAGAAAAATATTTTTAAAAAAATCCACGCCTTTTTCAAGACCTTAGAAAAATATTTTTTAAAAAATCCACGCCTTTTATAAGACCCTAGAAAAATATTTTTAAAAAATCCACGCCTTTTGTAAGACCCTAGAAAAATATTTTTTAAAAAAATCCACGCCTTTTGTAAGACCCTAGAAAAATATTTTATAAAAAATCCACGCTCTTTGTAAATCCCTAGAAAAATATTTTTAAAAAATCCACGCCTTTTGTAAGACCCTAGAAAAATAATTTAAAAAATCCACGCCTTTTGTAAGTCCCTAGAAAAATATTTTTAAAAAATCCACGCCTTTTGTAAGTCCTAGACCTAGAAAAATATTTTTAAAAAATCCAGGCATTTTGTAAGACCCTAGAAAAATAGTTTTAAAAAATCCACGCCTTTTGTAAGACCCTAGAAAAATATTTTTAAAAAATCCACGCCTTTTGTAAGACCCTAGAAAAATATTTTTAAAAAATCCACGCCTTTTGTAAGTCCTACCTAGAAAAATATTTTTAAAAAATCCACGCCTTTTTCAAGACCATAGAAAAATATTTTTAAAAAAATCCACGCCTTTTTCACGACCTTAGAAAAATATTTTTAAAAAATCCACGCCTTTTGTAAGACCCTAGAAAAATATTTTTAAAAAATCCACGCCTTTTGTAAGACCCTAGAAAAATATTTTTAAAAAATCCACGCCCTTTGTAAGACCCTAGAAAAATATTTTTAAAAAATCCACGCCTTTTTCAAGACCATAGAAAAATATTTTTAAAAAATCCACGCCTTACAAAAGGCGTGGATTTTTTAATAGAAAAATATTTTTAAAAAATCCACGCCTTTTGTAAGACCATAGAATAATGTTTTTAAAAAATCCACACCTTTTTCAAGACCTTAGAAAAATATTTTTAAAATAAACCACGCCTTTTGTAAGGCATTTTTTAATATTCTCCTATAAAATTTTTAATATTTTCAAACATTTTTTGAATTGTTTTGAAACACTGTACTTTCTGCTCATGACATGTCGTTGCATGATGCATTTTCTCCTTTCTTTCCTTTCGCGGAGGATACTTGCAACATACACAAAATGACAAAGCAAATAAACAATAAATACAACAACAATGCAAACAATTAATTTATGTAAATCAAATAGAAATATTGCGGCTATACTACACACTCAATCATGGTGAGCGAGGAGCAGCTGTAAAAAAGAAAGGATTACAACACCGGTTCTATGCGTGTGTGTGCGTGTGGCAATAATTTATAATTCCAATGGTTAATAGCCGTTTCAGAAAACAAACAAATCAAATATTTAATTGTTAGGCTTTTGTTTTGAAACAAATTATCTGGTCTGGTTCCATTACACCAGTAGAGTGAGATTTGTTTTATATAGAAAATTACTGTTAATGTAACCATTAACCCCCTAGCTATCATGGATACGTGAAATTAATTGGATGAAAGCTGCTGACACGTTTTGAAAACGGGCAATGACAGATTTACAGATTTGATAATTTTTTGTTGTTATTGCATTTGAAGATAAAAAAGACATAAATATTGGGATAATCAAAAAATGATATCTGACAGTGAATCCAAGGGTAAAATATCGAAAACAAAATTTGCATTTTCATATTAATAAACACCAAAATTTGCCGATTTGGATGAAATTTGGCATAGGTCACTTATTTGGCCCAAGGACGAACCCTATTGAAATTGGGAAAAATCGGTTCAGATTTAGATATAGCTCCCATATATATTTTCGTTCTATTTAATGTGAATGGTGTACTAAAGTCCCTATATATCTTTCGATTTGCACGAAATTTGGCACAGCGCAATGAATTAGGAATACAATGATGTGTGTTAACTTTCGTGAAAATCGGTTCAGATTTGGGTATAGCTCCCATATATATTTTCTCGTCCGATTTAATGTAAATGGTCCACCAACGACCCTATATATATTTCGATTTACGCGAAATTTGGCAAAGCGTACTGAATTGGGTGTAGAATGACGTGTGTCAAGTTTCCTGAAAATCGGTTCAGATTTAGATATAGCTCCCATATATATTTTCGTCCGATTTAATGTAAATTGTGCACCAACGTACCTATATATCGTTTGATTTGCATGAAATTTGGCATAGCGCACTGAATTAAGTATAGAATGACGTGTGTCAAATTTCCTGAAAATCGGTTCAGATTTAGATATAGCTCCCATATATATTTTCGTCCGATTTAAGGTAAATGGTGTACCAAAGTCCCTTAATATCTTTCGGTTTGCACGAAATTTGGCACAGCGTAATGAATTAAGTCTAGAAAGATGTGTGTTAAATTTCGTAAAAATCGGCTCAGATTTAGATATAGCTGTCATATATATTTTCGTCCGATTTAATGTAAATTATGCAACAAATCTTTCGATTTGGACGAAATTTGGCACAGCGTACTGCATTGAGTCTAGGAAGATGTGTGTGAAATTTCTGAACATTGGTTCAGATTTCGATATAGCTCCCATATATATCTTCGTCCGTTATAAGGTAAATGGTGCACCAAAGTCCCTATATATCTTTCGATTTGTGCGAAATTTGGCACGACGTAATGAATAAAGCCTACAATGACGTGTGACAAGTTTCCTGAAAATCGGTTCAGATTTAGATATAGCTCCCATATATATTCTCGTCCGATTTAATATAAATGGTGCACCAAAGTCCCCATATATCTTTCGATTTGCACGAAATTTGGCACAGCGTAATGAATTAAGTCTAGAAAGATGTGTGTTAAATTTCGTAAAAATCGGCTCAGATTTAGATATAGCTGCCATATATATTTTCGTCCGATTTAATGTAAATGGTGTACCAAAGTCCCTATATATCTTTCGATTTGCACGAAATTTGGAAAAGCGTACTGAATTGGGTGTAGAATGATGTGTGCCAAGTTTCCTGAAAATCGGTTCAGATTTAGACATAGCTCCCATATATATTTTCGTCCGATTTAAGGTAGATGGTGCACCAAAGTCCCAATATATCTTTCGATTTGCACGAAATTTGGCTCAGCGTAATGCGTTAGGTCTAGAATGATGTCTGTTAACTTTGCTGAAAATCGGTTCAGATTTATATATAGCTCCCATATATATTTTCGTCCGATTTAATGTAAATTGTGCAACAAAGTCCCAATGCCTCTTTCGATTTGCACGAAATTTGGCAAAGCGTACTGAATTGGGTGTAGAATGGTGTGTGCCTAGATTCGTGAAAATCGGTTCAGATATAGCTCCCTTATATATTTTCTTCCGATTTATTGTAAATGGTGCACCAAAGTCCCTATATATCTTTCGATTTGCACGAAATTT